TGCTCTCGAGTAGGGAGTTCCCCATTGTGTAAGTGTGCTTTTGCCTTCTCCTCAGCTATATGCTATATATTGAACTAACTTCCATAGACCCTTTGGTATCATCCTGGACTCCAAACCTGCACATTCCTTAGGGAGCAGGGCTGACACCATCCAAGTGGGTTACAGCAGGCTCCAAGACCAACTTTTTAACTTGTGAGGATTCCTTTTTACAGTTCCAAATGCTGTGCCATACCTGGCAGATAATGAAACAGTCTTGTACTGAGAGGCTCTGGTTGACCTCATTTAAATAGATACTGCTAAAGAATACTGAGCTTTATTTTAAATTGTCCCCTAGATAGATACCATTATTGGATCCATGCTATAACTTCCATAATTACATGTGTCAATTAATTGAAAGAAAACAGGCTTTTTACTCTGAAGATAAAAGCCAACTATATTAACCTTCAAACAGCAGGGAACTGCGATTGACAAAAAGCCTTCCTAATTAGAATGATCGTCAAAGTGTGTTAAAATCAGATTTTTTGAACAGTAATGAGACTAGCCCATGTCTATGATAAAATATAATGCAAACCTATGGAATTTGTCTGTGAGCACTAAATCTACTTTGAGTTCACATGTGACTGACTCTGAGGGCCAGATTTTGCTCTGTATGGGCATCATCAGTGTCACAGTAGATCAGTAATGTGAGAACTGAGATCGCAACCTGGCCACAGATCTCTTTTGCCTAGGATCCAGCATTTTATTTGGACACATAGGCAAGGAATGATTCAAAGGCTTCCTTACTTCTCTTCTCTAAGGGAAGTGGTGGAATCTACTTTGCTTTGAATTAACTGGTGCCAAGAATGTACATTTAAATATTAATTCCTAGCAGAAGTCATGTTTAAACTATAGCCATGAAGTAAAAATCCTCAATCTATTTTGGTTAAATAAACAAGGGAAATCATCTCCAACGAAGTTTCTACTTTTAAAAGCTTATTAAAGAAATTTCATGTTGAATTGTTTGTGAACCAAATAAAAATCCAACATTGCATGACAAAAATAAATGTTTTTAAGTCTCTGCTTTTTTCAGAGCTCTTCAAGTAACTCCAGCAAATCAGATTCATGTAAGAAATAACCCACCCCAATGGAGTTCACTATTCTGTTCTAGTGCCATAGTGCAGCATGAGGTTGAAGTTTATTGTCAATCTAGCATTCAACTGGTAGTCTTGTATTCTGTGAAAGCCATAGTTAGTATTTTGAAAATTGGCCAGTTTATAACTTAGGGGCTTAAGTATAGTTTTATAAATGAGCAGGTGGATCCCAGATGGCCAGTCTAGAACAAAATCTGTTATCTAATAATGTTCAATACAATAAAAACTTTCCAGTGTTGGCCAAGTCTGATTTGTGTATTTAAGGCAAATGTCCTATAGAGAATCCATTTCATATGCAGATTAAATTCTAGCTAACCTAGCTCCTGTGCACAGAAATAAAAATGTTCTCGCACTTCTCCTAGGAAATAGCAATGTTCTTTTTCCCAGAATGCATTATGATATGAAGAAATGCAAAGTCACACTTAGGATCTGAACCTGGGACTTCTTAGTGTCAAACAAACACTTAAACTTGTTTTTTTCTGAAAGATCTTCTGTACCAAACACCTTCATTGAGAATACTGCTTAACTATGCTGACTGCAGCCACTGAAAAAGTCAAACATTTGTATAAGCTCTGTTTTTGTTTTACTTAATACTTTGTGTTAAATCATCATGTCGTAGAAGTACATGATTATAAAAATAGTAACTTGAGCAGCTGCTGTAACTACTCTTACTCTAGCTTTTAGTTCTTTAGTGTGCACCCTGAATTTCTTTATTCCTGTAAAAAGTGGCTCACCATATAAAGTCCATATTATATCCATTAAGTCCTACAGCCCCCTTTTTATAGCTTGCTTAATTATGCCTGTCAACACAAATCTATCTTCTAAAGTTATGTGGTTTTAGGAACAGAGGGCATTCAGGGATAAAGCTTTTGTTCTCTAGGGTAAGTTAGCAATTGTAGTTGGTTATAATAGCGCACCATCAGAACTTAAAATGAACTTTTGGTCTCTGTCCTTGACTGTGACAACCATTCATTTTGTAATAGATAAAGCCACTTGCTTTTCAGCTGGGCTCTGACCCTCTCACATTATAAGGGTCAAGTGGCTGTTTGTGGAGAGCAGGGAAGTTCCTTGCAAGAATCTGTTGTATGAAGGTTTCCTTATGTTTCAGTCCTAAGGACCACATTAAAGGGACCCTGATTTTAAAAAGGATCACAGAATTTGTACAAAATCATGAAAAAGTAGAAAAATTGGAGATAACATCTGAAAAACCCCCATCTGCTTTGGTAGCTTTGAAAAAAACCCCTCCAGAAACTGCTAATTGCTTTAAAAATGCAATAACATTTAAAAACCTTATAAGAATATTTTTTCCCTTAAGTTTGCAATTATAAAAGCTACAGTGTTATACTTGTGTAGCATGTTCTAAATCAAAGTGCTTCAGTATCCTTGGAAACAATGCCTATAAATTTTCTAAAACTACCTCTTCTTCACATACTGATAAATAAAATATTTAGCGGTTAAGGATAAGCATTTTTCTTACTACATTTCACACCAGTGGGTCCCAAAGCATAGGGATGAAAAGCACCATGTCTGGTGCCTAAGGCTAGGTACAGACATTTGAAAAGCCCAAGGCAGAATAGATCTAAGTTACACAGTTTTCTATAAGCAGCGTAGCTTAGATCTGTAGCGAACAGAATGCACTTTTGTCCTTTTTTGGGGGGTATGGGGGCAAATCTTAGACTGGGTTTTGCCATTTTTAAATTAGTCCAGGTGCACCTTAACTTCTGCTCTGTTAAGGGTATAGACCAGATTCCAATCACTTATACTGGTAAGAGTGTAATGTCTGTACCTGGCCTAAATGAAGTTGAGTGTAGTGGTATTGATGTAATGGTTTTCCTTACACTTCCCAATTTGATAATGGCCCTGTTTTTATAGAGGCATCTATAACAGCAAAGTAGAAACCCTAAATAAGACACAAACTAATCACAGTTATGAAGCTCTGAAAGCAGTGACTGATGCTTCTGTGTTGCACCAGATGTTGGAGCACATGCAGAGACTAATGCTAGAATGGAGAAGCAGGAAGGAATTGAGCAGGTGTAAAACTATTTTACAAGCATAAAAAGGTGATTTGCCAGTTAAGGCTGTAAGGTCACCTTTTTCTCAAGCAGTTTCCCTTAAGTAGCAGCTTTTAAAAATAGAGGAGCTTTAAAATTGTTTTCTGCTGTCACTTTAACACTCATCTCTTCCCTTCTTTGTAATATTTTAGTAAGTGTTACTGAAACTCATAGAAGAAATGTTTTGTTTGCACACAAATATTATTTTAAGCAGATGGATTAAACAGTTGGAGGAAAACATTGTTCATTCTTCATTGTTTCTAAATGCAGGTGCTCGCAACAGGACTGAGTGGCCTCTATTCGTCTTTGCCTACAAAGCTGGAAGAAAAAGGAGAAGAATGGCACTGTCTGCTGGAAGATGACTGGCTTTTATCCCCAGCTCTTGTCCAGTTCATGAATTCCCTAGAATTTTGCAATGCAGTAATACAGGTAGGGCACAGTGTCAGATTGTCCTTTTGAAGTATTAAACTGTATATTCAAAGCCTTTTTAAAGGATATGCCTATTTTTTTCAACAGGACAAAACTCCCCTTGATTTAGCTTGGTTTTAAGAGCCTTTTATAAAAGAATGTTTAGAGTTGTTGGTTCATCTTTACAGCCAGAATAAGTAATGTGTTTGGTTTTCAAGTGGCAAATATTTTTAATTAATAAAATGTGAGTACACAGTTTTTGTATCATTATCTCAAGTAATTGGGAGACTTTTCTCCTTTTAAAATAGTTGATTGCATTTTAAATACCCACATATTAAAAGGAAATGTGTATTTGATGAAAAGGTAGTTTTATCTACTTGAGTAGTGAAGAATTATTTCATCTTTACATCAAGATTCTTAGACTACAAAGAAAAAATACTTTATTTTGGCTAATGATGTGTCTTATGTAAAGAATGTTGTCATCCTTGCTGAATTTAGAGGGAGTAATTGTCGTCTTAACACAAATTCAATTCACTTCAAAACTGGCCTGCTTAGAATAATTCTCTATTCTTGACTACTTCCTTGATTAGATTCTTTTTCTCCTTTGATTTCTTGTTACTTTTTGTCTCCAGTCTAAAGATAATCAGATTTTTATATCCTTTTGAGGCTATTGAACGCTTCTACAGCAAGTATTTTGAGTAAAATATAAATTCTGCTATGTCTATAGATTTATTTGGATAAGAAAGTGGGCTTAATAACAGTGATGAAGTTGGCCATATTTTACTTTGTATAATATTTTTATTTAAGAGGGTGTGTATGCAAAGTACAGTAAAGTAGCCAATTATTTTTTGTAACACATGAAGCTATATTTATCATTTTTAAAACCAACGTAAGTAGAATTAATAGTAGTTTTTATGTTCAAAGCTGCAAAATATAGGCTTTCTAATGCATGTACATCAAAATCAATGTTATATCTACACAGAACACTTCTACAAGAGAGTTTATAGTCTCTGATACTGATATTTGATACTTCTCTTTCATTAAGTTGAAGGCCGTGACTGATAGGAAAGGAGAGTATATAATTTTAAATCTATTTTAAATTAAATTCAGTCATTTTAAGGGATGCATAGGTGCATGCAAAGTCAGCATGCTATATATTTTTTTATCCTATCAATTTACCTTCAATGAGAGAGAGAGAGAGAGAGAGAGAGA